TATATGTATATGGTTCCCCCCCCAATAGGATGCAACATTCCAGAAGCCAAGAATGACTAATCATAAAAACAAGCAAACAAATAAATGAAAGAGGAAATGAAAATGGAAAAGAGCTATAAAGTCTAAAACTTGTCTATTTTAAAAGGATCTCAGTGAACTGTGAATATACGTGTAGGGTGGGTAATATAAGTGGATAATTTATATTATCTTGAGTAAGTTACATGAAATGATAATGCTGTTAGTCAAATCCAGGCAGAACTTCACATAGGATTCTACAGGGTATCTAGATGGTGCAGTGGATATAATTATGGATTTGGTGTCAGGAAGACATCTTCTTGAGTTCAAATCTGGCCTTGGACACTTACCGTGTGACGCTGGCAACTCATTTAATCATTTTACTTCAGTTTCCTCATCTATAAAATGAGCTGGAGAAGGAAATGGCAAAGCACTCTAATATCTTCACCAAGAAAACCCCACAAGGGGTTATGAAGAGTCAGACCTAACTGAAGTGACTCCACAACAACAACAGAAACAATAGCCAGTCTTTGAGCCTTGACTAAGAAAATTTTCCCTCATTGTCATCAGGGAAAACTCAAAGCTAGACAACTGCTCAGAATTAATGCTGTATGTAAAGGGATAGGGGATATTAATAAAATTGTTCTTACAATAACTTACACTTACATAGCATTTTTAAGGTTATAAAACTTTCCTTACAACTACCCTTTGAGAGAAATTGCATTATAATCCCTATTTCACAGATGAGGAAACATTCTCAGAGAAGTGACACTTTCTAATAGAGATACTAACTGTTGAAAGTAGAATCCATACCTTAGATTTTTCTTTCTTTGGTTTTTCTTTTTAATATGCTTTAATGATGCCTTTTGTCTTTATATCATTGCCATTTACCACCTACCTCCCTGAGAAAAACAAGGAAACATGTTTTTTTGTGTGTGACTAAACCATTCCTTTCAAAAAGTAAAAAAAAAGATCAGAATAGATATGGCAACATATATAATGTTGTATTAATACCCATCTCATTACCTTTCCATTAGGGAAGAAGGTATAATTTCATTATCCCTTCTAGGGACATTTAGGAGGCTCCATGGCTAAAATACTGGATTCCAAAGTCAAGAAAACCAGAATTCAAATCTGGCCTCATACATGTCTAGTTGTGTGACTCCAGGTATGTTACATGCCCTCTGTTTGCCTTAGAATAATAGCACTTACCTTCTAGGGATATTGTGAGGATATAATAAGATAATAGTTATAAGGCACTTAGCACAGTGACTGACCCATAGTAAGTGCTATGTGAATATTAGCTATTATGATTATGATTACATCCATTGTTTTTTCAATTACTCAGAGTTATATTTTCTTTGTTTTCTTCAAATTTACATTGTTGCAGACATTACATTTATGGGCAGATATGTAATACCATATATAGATCACAAGGTCTTGAGCTACAAAAACTGTTCAAATTTGGCTTCAGACACTTACTAGCTGTGTGACCTAGGCAGGTTCTTTAACCCAATTTGCCTCAGTTTCTTCATCTATGAAATATATTCAGATGTGACTGAAATGGCTGAAAAGCAATAGCAGTAAGACATTTTCCTCTTGGTTTTGCCTATGTAGAGTGTAGACTCTGATCCCATTTTTTAAGTACCAGGACTGGTAGGTCACCTTACAGAATCCCAGGATAACCTGCAGGAATTGTCAACTCCCACTGGCTATTTTCCTCCTACTGTTAAAAGTCCAGGGCCTAGCACCCCAGTTCTGTTTAACTACTTAACATTGATTGTTTTTTTAAAAATAATTTTTACTTCAAAGGTATGGTAAAAACAGATGTAGCAACATTTCCACTTGTTCCTTTTACCTACACCTCCCTAGTCCCTGCGGGAATAAGTTCAAAATTTTGTTCAGTTCTTCCATAGCATTGAAAAATTAAGCCTTGAGGGGGGCAGAGCCAAGATGGTAGAGTGAAGCAGTGACCTGCTTGAGCTTTACCCCAAACTCCTCCAAATACTCATAAAAAATGGCTCTTAACAAATTCTGAAGCAGCAGAACCCACAAAAACACAGAGTGAAACAAATTTCCAGCCCAAGACAACCTGGATGATTGATCAGAAAGGTGGGATCATGCCGGGCTGGGAGCTCAGCGTGGGCACGCAGGCTGCAGCAAACCTGGAGCAGGCCTCAGAGGAGTGAATCATGGGCAGCTGTGAAGGTTTCCAGATTCCTCAATCCACTAATGCCAAAGACAATTTAGAAAGTCAGTGGGAAAAGTCTGTTTCTGTGGTGCTGAGAGAGGAAGGCAGGGTTTCAGCTCCATTCCCCAAGAGCGTGGCCCTGGAGGGGGGGAAGGACAGCTGCTTCCCAAGCTTCCAGTCCACAGACTGAGGGGGAATCCAGTGGCTGATCAGAGAGGGATTGCAGGGATCTCTTTGCCAGTGCTGAGGCAGGAATCTCTTGCTTTGCCCGTGTTTGGATCTGGGTCACAGTTCTGGGCGGTGGTGCGGGGTGAGGAGAAGCGCTGGTGTGCAGGAGCTTGTAGTGACTGTATAGAGGAGCTCCTCCTCACAGTTATAGGACAGAAAGGAGTACTTGTGGTCATAGGCCAGGAAAGGAGTAAACACCTCGCCCCTTATCATACCGCCTTGGAAGAACTGAAAATTTGTGTAGGTCCCTGCAAGTATCTCTGAAAACAGCTATACAAACCCCTGAAGCTTGGGACAATACATTATCCACATTGGAAGCAGACTCTTACCTTAACAAAGAGTTTAAAACTCAAGTAATTGGCTGGGATCATGAGCAAGCAGCGCAAAAAGAGTCACACTATCTTACTTTGGTGAAAAAGAAGATCAAAATATACAACCAGAAAAAGACAACAAAGTCAAAGCTCCTATATCCAAAGCCTCCAAGAAAAATATGCATCAGTCCCAGTCCTTGAAAGAGCTGAAAAGGGATTTTGAGAAGCAAGTAAGGGAAGTAGAGGAAAAACTGGAAAGAAATGAGAGTGATGCAAGAAAATCATGAAAAAACAAGTCAACAGCTTGCTAAAGGAGACCCAAAAAAATACTGAAGAAAATAACACCTTAAAAATAGCCTAACCCAAATGGCAAAAGAGGTCCAAAAAGCCAATGAGGAGAAAAATGCCCTAAAAAGAAAAATTGGCCAAATGGAAAAGGAAGTCCAAAATTACTGAAGAAAATACTTCCTTAAAAATTAGATAAAGAGCAATTGGAAGCTAGTGACTTTATGAGAAATCAAGACACTGTAAAACAAATCCAAAAGAATGAAAAATTAGAAAACAATGTGAAATATCTCATTGGAAAAACAACTGACCTGGAAAATAGATCCAGGAGAGAGAATTTAAAAATTATTGGACTATCTGAAAGCCATGATCAAAAAAAGAGCCTAGACATCATCTTTCAAGAAATTATCAAGGAAAACTGCCCTGATATAGTAGAACCAGAGGGCAAAATAGAAATTGAAAGAATCTACAGATCTCCTCCTGAAAGAGATCCCCAAAGGAAAACTGCTAGGAATATTATAGCCAAATTCCAGAGTTCCCAGGTCAAGGAGAAAATATTACAAGCTGCCAGAAGGAAACAATTCAAGTACTGTGGAAACACAATCAGGATAACACAAGATTTAGCAGCTTCTACATTAAAGGACCACAGGGCATGGAATATAATATTCTGGAGGGCAAAGGAGATAGGATTACAACCAAGAATCACCTACCCAGCAAAACTGAGTATAATCCTTCAGGGGAAAAAATGGTCATTCAGTGAAATAGAAGACTTTCAAGCATTCCTGATGAAAAGACCACAACCAAATAGAAAATTTGACTTTCAAATACAGGACTCAAGTAGAACATGAAGAGGTAAACAGGAAAGAGAAATCATAAGAGACTTATTAAAATTGAACCGTTTACATTCCTGCATGGAAAGATGATATTTATAACTCATGAGACCTTTGTCAGTATTAGGGTAGTTGAAGAAAAAAAATTATATGTATGTATATATAGTAGATAGATAGAGGGCAAAAGGTGAGTTGAAGATTAAGGGGTCATATCTGGAGAATAAAATTAAGGGATGAGAGAGTATGATATTCGGAGAAGAAGAAAGGGAAAGGTAGAATGGGGTAAATTGTCTCACAAAAAAAACAGAAAAGTGTCTTACAGTGGAGGGGAAGCAGGGGAAGGTGAGAGGGAATGAGGAATCTTATTCTCATAGGATTTGGCTTAAGGAGGAATAACATACACATTCAATTGGGTATGGAAATCTGTCTTACCCTACAGGAAAATAGGGGAGAAGGGGACAAGAGAGCAGGGGGATGATAGAGAGGAGGGCAGATTGGGAAATGGGGTAATCAGAAGGAAATACTTCTGAGGAGGGACAGGGTCAAAAGAAAGAATAGAATAAATTGGAAGGCAGGATAGGATTAAGGGAAATAGAGTTAGTTTTTCACAACATGTCTACTATAGTGTTTTGCATAACTGCATGTATAACCTATATTGAGTTGCTTGCCTTTTCAATGAGGGTGGGTGGAGGGAGGAAGAGAAAATTTGAAACTAAAGTTTTAAAAACATATGTTTAAAAAAAATTTTCACATGTACTGGGAAATAAGAAATACAGGAATGGGGTATAGAAGTCTATCCTGCCCTACAGGAAAATAGAAGGGGAAGGATAAGAGAAGGGGGAGAGATAGAAGAGAGGACAGACTAGGGGAAGGGATATTCAGACTGCATTCCATCTTGGGGTGGAGGGAGGGGTGAGATGGGGCAAAAATTTGGAACTCAAAAACTTGTGGAAGTGAATATTGAAAACTAAAAATAAATAAATTTATATTTAAAAAAAGAAAAATTAAGCCTTGAAACAATATTCATTCTTCTTCCTTTTTTAAACAATGATGTAGAACTGTCCTATGTCCTTCACTGCAACAAAGTAATCTTTTTATTCCTCCAGAAGCAATTTCAATTTTTTTTCTTCTTTCCTCAAGGTTATATCATCATTACCATCTTAGCTGAGAGTTCAGAATTTTCTCCTTCTTCATTTCCACCACATCGAATTGCTCTCTTCCATCAAGATGCAGCTCAAGAACCACTTACAATATATGAAACTTCCTGAGCACCCAATTGTTAGGGCTATCCATCCCAAACTATCTTGTATTTATTTTGCATGTGTTTTAACACATGTGCGTATATGTTCCCATATGCATATTGCCTTCCCTGATGGAATGTTTAAGATTATGGATTGTCTCCTTTGTATAGTTGTTAACTATCATCAGGTTTAGCACAGTGGCTGGCACAGTGTAGGTGCTTAATAAATACTCGTTGATCAATTTATTGACTGAATATTGGGCTCCAATATACTTATTTTATGTTGACAAAATACGGTTTTGGGAGTGGAAAAGGAAATTTGTTATGGAAAATCAAAAAGAATGCATTTTTAAGAATTAACATTTTCTCCTATATAAACAAATGTTAACTAAGTTAACTGAATTTTTCAGTTGTAGTAGGCATCCATGAAAAGTAATCATTCCTTGTCCATAGATTATACAGAAACTTGAATATATATGGAATATATCTCTTCAGAAAAATTGAAAATATAAAGAACAATCCAGGAATTCTTATATGTTTGTTGAAGGTTTGCATTTGATTTCAACTTCATAAGTGTTATGGGGTTTGTGTTTAAAATCTCTAAATCAAAGAGTAGACTTTTAATTTGTAGTTAATTAGATAATAAATGAGGAGATGAGGTAAGGGCCAGGCTTGAGGATAGAGGAGAATACAATTTATTTTTAAGAAAAAAATGCAATTAAATTGTTTTGGGGGAGTAACAATTTTCAGGACTCTTATAAATAGAAGGGCCCATCTCAGCTTGATTACTCCTAAACAGCTTCCTGCAACCTCCCACTAAGTAGATGAGCAATTAGAGTAATCACAGCAATAAGTCAAAGGCACTTGCTGTTCAAACTTGGGCTGTGACTTTTCTTTTCTGGCTTTGCTCCTGAGTGATGGGGAAACACACACACACACACACACACACACACACACACACAACCACACTTAGACACATATAGAGTGAAACATCAGTTAACTAGAAAATGAATTATATAGTAAGGCTTGATTTTATAGATGAAGGTTAAAAGAAGGGCATCAAAATAGTCCGGCAATGCTGAGAACAGTCACTATGCTGGAGGTATTCTTATATCTAATCCAGTCATGCAGATGGAAATCTGCCCAACAAACTATAAAGCATAAAGTCTGACTGTGAGTCAATCTGCCAGTGCAGGTTCAAGGTGACTCAGTAAAATACTGCATCTTATTTTTGACAAATACTCAAAGGCTCTGATCCACATATGGTCTATTTGTGGTGGGGGTGGAGGTAGGAGGGGAGCAAATAAGTTTGGCATTGAAATAGAAGGACAGGTACAGAAACTGTTTCAAAAATGGATGAAATGAACTTTTAGCAGTTGATTTACTTGGATAAAAACAAATAGTAACTACAGCAATTGATTTTTGAGTTCCAATAGGTAAGTATTAAAAGTAATCACTCCCTGTCCATAGTTCTGTTTATGATGGCCTTATAATATTTACACACTTCCTGACCTTGAGTTGGTTCGCTTTTGATGGGATTACTTCTAAAAAGAGACTGTGAAATAGAACTGGCTCCCTAATGTCGGTAGCTTGATCTTTTCAGTATGTTTTAAAAGTGACTGATAACCTACAAAAGTGGAAAGTGATAGGTCCTATCAATTACAATCAAGTCATTTTACCTTTTTGTGAAGTGTAGCTACTACTGTGGGCTTCATGACTCATTAAAAATCAATTAAAAACTCTCAATCTATTTCTGCATCCTTCAGACCTTCTACATCAAGAGAAATCAGTTTTTTTAAAAGTTTCCATTGAAAAGAGGGAAAGCCATGTACAATATCTGTGTATTCAATGTTTCTTACTTTCCTCTGTTTTGTGTATCATATGCTATATCTAACCTATTGCTGATACTTGTCTGTTAGCTCTGATTCTTAAATAGCTTACAAATTCTTCTATAGATATTCTAATACCAACTACTTTCTTTGCCCCTAGAAGTTGAAAAAAATGCCATTAAAAGTCAATCCTATATCTCTTACATTCATTAAAAGTCAACCCTATATTTCTTACATTAAGACTTATCAGGAATGAAATCACATGAAGATTCACCTGCTCCATAATTTTGTTATCATGGAAGATCATTTTTTATAGTTGAAGGGAATTCAATAGCCAAAAAAGTGAATTGGGGCATGCAGATGCTTCATACATTGGACCTCAGTGAAAGAGTCATATTTTATACTCTGAAGATGCATTGTTTACTGAATACATGGTTATGAGGAGAGACATTGTTAATACTGCTGAAAAGATTTAAATTATTATTGGGATGGGAGACTGAGAGGAAATGAAGGAAGTGGGGAGAGGCAAGGGAGAGGAAGAGGAAAAATAAGACAGAAGAAAGAAGAAAGAAGAAGGAGAAGAAGAAGAAGAGGAAGAAGAAGAAAGAAATAAAGGAAGGAAAGAAGGAAGAAAAAGAAAGAAAGAAAGAAAGAAAGAAAGAAAAAGAAAGAAAGAAAGAAAGAAAGAAAGAAAGAAAGAAAGAAGAAGAGGAGGAAGAGGAGCATCAGCAGAAGCAGTAAGAAGAAGGAAAAGAAGAAGAGGAACAAAAAGAGGAGGAGGAGGAATAGGAAAAAAAAGATTGATTGATGAGTAATTGGGTGCCTTATTCTGAAAACAAACAGGGAAAGACAAAAAAAAACTAGAAAAGAGAGAGGACATTTTAATTTATTTATTTTTAGTTTTCAACATTCACCTCCACAAGATTTTGAGTTCCAAATTTTCTCCCCATCTTACCCCTCCCCCCACTCTAAGATGGCATGCATTCTGAATACCCCTTTGCCCAATCTGCCTTCCCTTCTACCCCTCCCCCTCTTCTCTTATTCTCTTCCCCTTCTATTTTCCTATAGGGCAGGATAGATTTCTATACCCCATGGAGAGGGCATTTTAGATAAGCTTCTAGGTTACTAGTTAGCAATATGTAGGGATCAGATTCAGTCAGCAAAGAGACTTATAAACCTGACTTTAGATTTGTGTCACAAAATAGAGACTAATGATTTGCATTTAGTTATATAGATATAACATCTGGCATGATATAATGTTGCAGCTGTTTGAGGAAAGTCAGTTAAAATGATCTCAAGATGAATATAATATCAACTGTTATTTAAAAGTAAATGTTTGATAACTCAGAAATAAATAATATCTGTCTAAAACACTGATTAACAAAGCTACTCTTTTAGAAAACTCTAAAAAAACTTGATTTTAATCACATATTTGTTCTTGACACAATATATACTTCTAATCAATCACTTAGACATCATAGTTTCCCTCCACTCTATCCTATGCCCAAGTGCATTGACCCAAAATAATTATACTATAATGCTATTTATATATGTATTTATACGCAGCCTATATGTGGCATATATGCATATATATATAATATATATATGTATAATATATATATATTTTATTTTTAATTTTAAAAAATATTTAAGTTATTTTTCGTTTTAGGAGGCATTTTTATAAGATTTTGAGTTCTCAATGCCCCTCTCCCTTCATGCCCTCCTCCGCAAGATGACATGTGGTCTGATATAGGCCATGTGTGTATAATCATATTAAATACATTAACACATTAACCATGTTGTGAAAGAAGAATCAGAACAAAAGGGAAAAACCATGAGAAAGGAAACACACAAAACAACAAAAAGAGAGAGAATAGTATGTATAGATCTGCATTCAGTCTCCATAGTTCTTTCTTTGGATGTGGATAGCATTTTCTATCATGAGTCCTTTGGAATTGTCTTAGATCATTACTTTGCTCAGAAGAACTAAATCTAACAAAGTCAATCATCTCACAGTGTTGCTGTTACTGTGTATAGTGTTCTCCTGTTTCTGCTCACTTTACTCAGCATCTCTTCCTGCAAATTTTTTTCCATGTTTTCTGACATCTACCTGCTCACCATTTCTTATGGAACAATAGCATTCCATTATATTCATATACCACAACTTGTTTAGATGATGGGCATCTCCTCAATTTCTAATTCTTTGCCACCATAAAAAGGGTTGCTATAAATATGTTTTACATGTATACACACTTTTATATAGCAATTCACATATGTACATATATGCATATGTATATGCACGCATGTGTATATACATACATATGTATACACATACATAGTTACCATATATATAGCTCTTTACGGTTTGCAAAGTGTTGTAATAGCATATAGTTTGCATTTATGTAGCATCTACTGTGCATCAGGAATGTTGCTAAGCACTTTGCAAATATGATCTCATTAGATCCTCACAACGACTCTGGGAAGTAGGTGCTACCATTATCTCTATTTCATAGTTGAGAAAATTGAGACAAACAAAATGACTTGTCCAATGACCATATAGCTAGTATCTGAGGCCAGATTTGAACTCAGGCCATCCTAATCTCAAGTCCAACAGTACAGTAGCTATACCAAAAGAATCCAATAGCATAAGTATGACGGATATGCTACTCTCCATTTTTTTCCAAAATTCTAATTTCTAATTTTCATTGTATGGTGCCAATACTATTCATTTTATATAATCTATTTTTGTTTACCTTTTAATATAATCTTCATTTTACATTGTTTTAATGTGTATTGTCTCATATATTGCTTTCTTTGTAATACATTACTTTAAGCATGTATTTTGATTTTTCATATTTATTATTCCTTACGTCACAATTATATTACCTTCATATATATTAGATTACATTAACACATCATTCTTTGGGGGTGAAGTTAGTCCATCGAGCACACAAGGTTACATTGTTGCAAAAACATATTTTAAACTTCGTTTAACCATTCTCCACTTGGGGCACACATATTTGCTGCATAACTTTATTTTTCATAAATAATGCTGATGACAAAAATAGTGGGGTAGGAAAAATATGGTACAATTCAGATCTCCCCCTGCCTTTGCCCAATAACCTGATTATCTCACCTCTTTGCCTTTGGCAAGCAATTCATAGGAACAGTGTCCCTTGAGCAATTAGAGAAGGACTTTAGCTAAAGAAAAATATTTCAGTTCTAGTGGCTGTCTCCTGAAGGGAAAAAGGGAGCAAGACAAGCTTAATTGATTCCAGGAGAAAAAGGTCCTTGATGTAGTATGGATACAAAACCAAAGGAGAATGCAGTGATAAGAACTTAGTAATAAGTCAAATTAAAAGTACCTCAGTAGGGGCAGCTAGGTGGTACAGTGGATAGAGCACTGGCCCTGAAGTCAGGAGGAAC